AGAGTTGAGCTGATGCTGGCTCTCCAGTGTCCCTTGCTCAGGATTTGTGCTCTGATCCCCACCTCTGGCTTAGGGAGCTCAACAGGGGCTCTTATGAGCAAACCGCCCCCCCCACCCCAAGTCGGTGTGCCTTTCTTGCCAGGCAGGAATGAACTGAGGTTGCTGTTACCAGATACATTGACATACTGATCCAGTTTGTACTGAGAAGACATACTTCTGCTTTAAGCTGGAACTAGTCACACCTCTCAGGATGAAAGATGGAATGAGCCAGACATGGCTACTCACAGTCTCCTTGGCCGAGCTGTGGAGGAGTCATGTGGGCCTACAAGTCAAACCTCTCTGAACGGTCATTGGCACAGCCAGGGAGCTTTGAAACTTGAGAGGGGATGGGGGTGTGTGGCATATGACACACTCCTCCAAGAATCTTGGCCAACTGACAGAAACCCTCTAAAGCACCACCAGGTTCAAGCGAGGAAGCAAGGTATAAAGATTGTGGAGGGCGATGAGAGGGAAAAGAAGGGGGAAGGGTGTATGCTTATTTTGGAAGAGAATAAGAGCATCCTGGTGTCACCCTCAGGGACCACCCAAGTAAAATTTTATTGGAAGCATTAGGGGAAAACTTGGAGAAATAACAAAATGTCACTGGAAAATTCACAGTTCAAAATGATAAGCAAATGAGTTGGTGAACGGCTCAGAGAAGTCCTTTGGGGAACTGGTAGGGAGGGTGAAAAACAAAAGATGAATTAACAGAATACTACATTTGGGTAAGACTGTTTTCTAAGTTCTCGTTTCTAATCAAGCAAGACCTCACTGTGAAAGCCCCGGACTAATAAGCTGCATGTGCATTCACACAGGCTAGAAGATATCCTCAAACTGTCAAAGCTTCTTAAGGCAAGGCCAGAGCATGCTTCAGTGCCAGGGTCTTTAGACACTCCCTCCTCTCATCTTTCCAAGGAGGCTTCCAGACACTGGGTTGTAAGGTACACATCAGGTCAACTGTGACCCACCACCGCCTTTCAAGGAGACGTGGATGCAGTTGCTGACTGGCTGGTCAAGAGCTTGTTTTTCCTCAGCCCTCAAGAGACCACCTCATTCCTTAGTAGCTGTGACAATGACAGTTTCTGGGCTATAATGAAGTTGATCTATTTTTCAAATCTAATCAGATACAAACAATTGATAGCCATCCCTGGCAGGGCCTACTGCTCCTAAGCAGTGTCAATACCCATTAGGGAGGCTGATTAAAACCTCTGCTCAGCTGATGGCTGAGGGATGCAGTCATCAGTGAGACAGAATTCACTTCCATGTGCTGAAGCTTCATTTTCTTCCTTCCAGTGCTCACAGCCTCCATCCTGCTCACGTTCAAAGCCCCTGGCCATTTGCTCTTTTCCTAACATAGAACACAGGCCACCTCTACTTCCAGGGTCTCTGCCCTTCACTGTGCACAAACCCAGACCTGCAGGAGTCTTGAGAGCCAAGTTCTGTTCTATGCAATGTGGCTGTATGGTTTGTAAATGCTTACTGCTCTCATAGACTCCTCTGCAGACCTGCTTTAAAGGAAAGACCATCTTGAACAGCATCGGAACCTTCTTCTGAGAGCCTCAAGTCAGAGGAGGAGCTCAACAGAACCAAAGATTGAGGGTTTTTACTGAGGAAAACTCTTACTGTTGCAAAGGCAGAGTTCAAGACTAGGACCAGCTGGTACTAAGCAGAAATGCAATTAGTCTGCTGTTTGGATATTGAGAGCCAGTGCAGATCACAGCTGAGAAAGCTGAGGAGAGGTGATTGAGGACACCTAGGAAACAGCATATCTATTTCCTATTAAAACAATTTGTCCAAGGCTGCCTGCAACAAATTGTATTCTACCCATTTCCCCATGAGCTCCAATTTCCATCTCTGCAGGTTTTAATATTCTTACCAAACCTTTTACAAGGGAAAGCAATTGCAACACCATTCAATTACCCTCAATATTAAACTCAGTTTCCAACAAGGATGAGAAGTCAACCTTGATATGCTGATGTTAAACAGTTTGAATCTGGAAGAAAACAAGAATTTTGGTCTTGAATTTTTTAAGATAAAAGGAGGAAATTTTTGAAGCAGAAATTTCAACTTTAAGAACTGTTCTGATCTTCCTAATAAAGAATATATCATAGAATTTTATGCTGAAAGGAACTTTGTATAGATTATCTTGCCCAGGGTCACATGGCTACATAGAAGAGTTGGCCCCAGAACTCAGATGTGCAGAATCCCAGTGGATTATTCTTATAGCACCGTATGTTGCCCTCAAAGCTGCCTTGCTTACTGGGTCAGAGAAACCCACATCCTCGAGGGGGTCTGCACTTGACTTGCCTTAAAAATAAGAATGGCAACAAAGATCTGCAGCTATAATTGGGCCTAGATTTGTGCAGGGACCACCTCTGACTGATAATTGGGTAGAGGTAAGTGCAGTGCGGGCATATACTGTGGGGCTCGATGATTCCTGGTAGGACTAGAAGGGACACCAGGGCTCCTGCAGTGTGGCCTCACTGCTAAGCTGCTCTGGAATCAGTGGCTCATCTGGGGTAGAACTAGGTATTGCCCTACTCACTGGCTTAGCTGCTGAATCCTTTAGGCTTTCCCATTTAAAATGCAAAAGAGTATGAAAACAAGTGGCAAATTTTACAGTCCTCTCTTCCCTAGGCTTCTGCTCATCCCAGGCCCTCCTCTTAATGAGTGCCAACACTGTGAAGACCCTCTCTTGCACAATGGTCTGGACAGAAACACTATCTTTTTCTGAGAGAAGACAGTGTCTGTCTGTGGCTAGGAGAGGCTGCAAAGGGGCCAGAAATCCAGAGCCCTAGAAAAATGTATGGCTGTGAGAGTTTCTTCTTCCCTCATCTCTGGCTCAGTGAGATACTCCTGGGGAAAACAGCAAGCAGTTTGCACATACTTTTATGGGGTCTACAGGTTAAGGGGGATTTTATCCTCACTTCCTGGGTGGAACTGTCAAATAAGCATATGTTTTGTTTCAGGCAGGGAGAGTGGGTGAAATGTTCAAAGAGAGATATGAAATCCACCAGTGGCTTCGGTGAAAAACAAATGCATTTACATCTCTTTAAATGGGGTGAGGGCTGCGATAGAACCAGAGAAAATCCAGAAGAGAAGCAAGTATCCCTCAGTTGCATAGAGACAAGGAGATTCCAGAAACTATGAATGAAGCTGGCCCATGAGAGAATTTAGTGCACTGAGTAGCCAGCCCAAGCCATGCCTATTTAGATTCTTCAGAGGCAACACCTGAGATGTGTGTAACCCTCACAATAGGGACTGAGATGGGGGCTGGGAGCCATCAGACCCTGGAGTAATCAGAAAAGGCTCAGTAGCCCTGAAAGACAAACAGGCAAATTCCAGCCAGAGAATTTCTGGAGTGGCCTAATCATTATTCCCAAAGGTGTGGCTTGGTAATCAAAAAAATATCAAATCAGAGAACAGAGGGTATGAAACTATACTGAGAACATTCTCTTCCCCATTCTAACATGACAGAGCTGAGCCCACGTAGCTGGCAGCTTGCAGCTGGTTTTCTCAGCTTGAGCTGCTGGGGAGGCTCATGAATACCAAGTCAACAAGTGAGGATGGGGTCGGTGGCCACTGGAGAGAACCATAGTCTCAAACTGACCAAGCGGCGCAAGAAAAGGAGACCTGGGGTTGCCAGCACCCAAGGAGGGCAGCTGGCTATCAGAAGGCCTATAACCACCAAGCCCCTGTGGGGCTTTTAGTCAATATGGCTCTGAAGAAATGACATTTTATTCTCTGGAAGAGACCAGAATTCAGTTATCTGTCTCATAGAATTAATGACTTTAGAGAATGCGCCTGAAATCACCCATGATGGCTTACACTTTCATGGGTTCTTCATTGTTGAATCCAGTACTCCTCAGCTTGTAAGTATCCTGTTAAAAGGAAGCACCCTGTGCTATGGCAGGGCTGTGTAAAGCAGCAGGGTGCAACAACCCCCGAGCTTTGAGAACTCGTCTCCCATGCTTTGGAAGGCACAAAGGGCTCTGAGGGAGCTCTCTCTTACTCCTTTACCTGGTCTATGGACTGGAGGAGGCGCAAAATGCTTCCCCAATAATATTTTTTCCTGAGAAAGAGGCAACAATTCTCTCTTCCCCAGTGTCAAAGATGTGCTAAGAGACTCAATTAGCCAACACCTTGTTGATTTCCTCTCCCTAGAATGAAGGAAATGTTTATTATAGTGAAAGATATGGTGCTTCTCACTCCACTTCAGCGTTCCCTGAGAACTGAGCATACGGTGTCCCCATGATAATACAAAGTCCTAAGAGAGGAGCAGCTTCTGAAAATGGGTGGAAACAGAAGACAGAATCTTATATGCTCTAAAACTGGTGTTTTGTTAGAGGCATGGTTTCTATTCTGGAACTGGGATCCTGAATTACAGCTTCTGGTTTAAGAGCATGGGATGTTTCAGAGGGTCACAGAAAACAATCCTCCATTCCATTTTCAGGAAAGAAACTAACAGAGGTAGTATATGTTAAGAGAATGGACCAATCTGAGCACTGAGCATCACTGACAACACTAAAATGACTTGCACACCCAAAATGAACCAAGGAATAAAACCACAAAAAGTAAACACTATGTGCCTTTAATGTTGGGTCATCATTGAGAAGTAATGGTTTAATTGTGTGCTGGAATTATGGAGTACTCTGTCTAGGTCTGGGCATGATATTCTAAAAGGCTGTTTTAATCTAGAGGAGGATGGCCAAGATTTGACAGGCATGAAAAGCCTCTCATGAGGACTGGGGTGTGGCTCAAGTGGTAAAGCACTTGCCTAGTAAGCACAAGGTTCTGGGTTCAATCCCAGTACTAAAAAGAATAAAAGCATGCCACATGAAAGGACTAGGAAGGGAGCATCCATGTGCAGATTAGTAAAAACTCTGGTTCTGAGAGCTGCGGAAGCTTCAAGCATTTATCACTGATGCTTCCCCAGAAGTTTATGTGAGCAAGAGTCAAAGCTAAGGCAGCAGAGGTCCCTGTGATGGAGCTGGGCCAAGTGACTCGTGGGCCTTGATCCTCTCCAATTCCATGACTTCCTCAGGGCTGAGAGCGCTTTACTCCCTTAAACTGCCACCAAGCAGTCATTTCTCCTGCTGGAGTTTCTAAGAAAGCAAATGTTCCCTCCCTAAGTCTAATCACCACTGTCCTCCAGCATAATCAAAATGCTGCAAGTGTCCACAAATACTCTACTCTCAACATTACATGTCTTCCCAGTCTGCTTCCATCCCCTAGTCTAGCTCCCAATAATCTACCCTCCCCACTCTCAGGCCTCCTCGCATGACTTCATCTCCCACTAGAACAGGTGCTAGAGTGGACAGGAAAACAAGGGACTGAGGTGAGGCAGACTGGGGTATGCAGAGCCCAGATTTTCTAATAGGGAAAATCATTTTACAAGGAGCACACGAGTGGGAAATGAGAAGAATGGACTGATACTTCTGCCACACACATCCTAGCTCTTTGGGGAAATGGCTTGTGATAGTACTACAGCTCCAGAGTGATGACAGCCATGTTTCTAAGACTCTAGAATAATGATTTTCTATAATGGCCAAAGACAACTGAGGTCAGGCGCTCTATGCCAGCTTTTATACCATCGGGTAAGGGCCTGGAGAGGAAGAGAGAATAAAAGGACAGAAAGGAAAAGAGTAAGTGAAGCCAGGGCCATCTGAGTTTTGGAGAAAGGAAGGAATAGAGGTTAAGACTAGTCAAGGATGTTACTGGGTTGTTGATAGAAAAAATCAAAATAAGTCAGTTCCTGAGAGGTGAAGAACAGAGAGTCTTGATGCAAAGTCATGGTCACTAGGACCCTAAGGAAACACACAGCTCTGAGGCAGTCCAATTATTAATTTCACATCCTGTGCTTTCTCTTGGCACCCCAGACAGAGTCTGGAGTGGCCACCACAAGACTCACTCATATCAGTGTAAAGGCTGTAGGTAGAAGCCTTACATGTTTGGATTAATTCCAATGTGGACAAAGCAGCAGAGCAGGAAGCTGGGGCCCATAGCTGAGCTTGGCTTACTCCTCAAGGCCTTCTCCAGATGGCTTGAGTGATCTCAACCATGCTTCAATTAAAACTGTCAATAAAAGTTGGGAGAGGGGTGTGAGAGTGCAGAGAAAATGTACAGTGCAGAGGAGGTGTCCGAAGATGATCAGAAAGAGTCCTTCCACCAAAACATTCATTTTTTTTTTTTTTTTGGCTGGAAGGCCATAACTGGAAAAGGAGGGGCAGGGCAGAAACTGCTGTCCTCCCTTTCAAAGTCTGGAGCATGCTCTATTTGGACAGTTTGCTGATGACTCTGATGAGGGCACCATTTTCATCTTTCAGCCTCTGGTTGTCGGATTTCAGCTCTGTTAACACCTGTGGTGGGTGACAAAGAGAAAGGTGTGTTAGAGCCTGCAATGATCACCTCCTCTACCAGGCCAGCCTGGCAAGTGAACAGGGCCTTCCGTGTGAGGAACTGTCACCACCCCTTCACCCAGGGATGAAATTCCCTTGAATCTTCCTATTTATTGAGTTAGTAATGCTAATGTTTGGGGAGCCCAAAGCCCCTCATTTTTTGAGCCAGAATATTTAGCAGCAATAACTTATTTCCTTGTATGTAAGCTTCATGTTCCATATTTGCATATCCTTTTATTCTATTGAGCCAGTAGCTGTTTTCAGTTTTCCTGTCCTTGAACTCACCTCTAGTCTAGAGAAATTGAGGAGAGTGCCAAAGTAGGCTGGTGAGGACATATGGAAGGAATTCAGAAAGGACTTGGAGAGGAGATCACTGTTCCACTGCTCATGAAAAATAAGAATGCAGGCTGAGGAACAGAACTTAGCTTTTCTACCATGTGCCAGAATGATTTAAAGGTCTTCCTCTTAGTGCCTTTGATGAATAGAACCCTTCAAAATTCTAACTAGTCACTTTACACATACCTACTTTCAACATTAAAACTAGAGAATGTAACAGATACGGTCATAGAACAGCTAGTTACAGCAAATACAAGGCATATATTAAATTTTCTCTTTAACTCTCTATTGGTAGTTATCAAGAGATATAAGAGACCTTATCAGCAATTTCAGAGGATGGTGTTATAATTCTGGGCAACAGATGCTTATGGAGAGAGGGAGGGAGTAGAGATTCAACCCTATCAGTTCTGTCATCTTGGAATATGACATATAGTGTTGTCTAATTTGTGGAACAAAGGAAAAGCAAGGTCCAACTTGGATAGCCAAGTCTTTATTATGTGATCAGGCTTTTTGACAAGTATGTTATGCATCTGAAAAATCTTAATGGGCTGTTGATAAGGGTACAGTTTATGTGTGGTCCTTTTGGTAGCAAGACTTAAGTTAATGGGTAAATATATCTTCACCTTGAAGGCTCCAGAAATCTATATCCTCATCTGCTCAATGCAGATATCCTTTCATTGATCAATTATTTAAACCTACAGGACCTTTGTGTCAGGCAATGCCCACAGAAAAGGGTAGCCTGGGCTCAGGTCTTATTAGGTCTGTTTAGTTTTAGCTATCAGCTATGTATTAACTATTTAGGGGATCTAGCTGTACTTGAAGGAATATAACTATTGTTTCCTCAACCTTGCAGGGAAGATACAGGTTACATCATTAAGCATGTAAGGGGAACAAAGGGAAAACACTGTATTTATAATGTGGGAGACACTGTGCTAGAGGGCCTCACTAAGTGCCTCATGAACCTGTGATACAACTACTATCCTTATTTCTACAAATGAGGGAACCAAGTCTCCCACACCACCCATCTATTTAAATGGCAAAGATGATACTGAACCCAGCTGTGCCCAAAGATCATTCCTTTATCAAAGGTGGAAGTAGGGATGAAAAAGAAACACTGAAATTGTTATAGAGCAGAAACAAATCCCAGCATTGTCACTGTCATTAATGCAAATCACTCAACTTCTCTGCAGGGACTCTGGGAGGCTGACAAGAGGTAACAGATGAGCAAGTATGTTGATGTCTATAATGTGTTTTGTGATACTGGGTATTCCGCTACCACTGAGTTTTCCCATGAAGGTGGGAGGGCAGGCAAGTAATCTATAACTCTACTAAGAAGGATTTAATCTAGAAAATATAAAGTTAGAGTTTTAGTCTTTTGATCTTGTCTCTCCTACCATACTAACTCAATCTAGGCAGCTCTGGCCATCCTCCCTTTTATGCCTCTATTCTTGTAGTTTTGTTCATCAGAATTGAGTACTTGGAAACTCATTTCAATAAAAATTTTTAGAAAAAAAATCCCAAGGAGGTTTCATGATGTTTTACCTTCCCATCTCTTCTCTAATCCCTATCCTCGGGCCTGCAGCCTGGGTTGACTCTGAAAACTCTAACTCTGTAACAGGATTCCATAGCAGGAAGAAGCTACATATGGCAAAGGTTTACATTTCACTGCTTAGCAGCTCATCAAGTCAGAACTGAGCTGCACTTTTTTTTTTAATTTACAAACAATTCGTTAAGCTTTGGTGATTTATTTCCACATTAAGAATTCAATTCCTTGGGAAAAAAAAGTTGGACAAGGCAATTTCACAGCTGCAACATACTACAATTGACATCTTAAGGGAGTGTAAAAAAGTACAAATGGAATGTAGAAATCAAGGGGGAGGTGGGAAGCCTCTTAAACTTCACTCTCAAAAGAGAGAAGGGGAAATGAGCAGTACTATCTGATAGTCACTTAATGCTAAAGAATTATTAAATTATTATTAAACATTTTTCATATATGTGAATATAATATACAAATGTGAGGCTTAAAGCTTTATCATTTTATCACTCTGGATCTCAGCTTCTTAATTTCTAACTTTGCATCTTACCACAGTTTGATATTAAGATACCTTGGACAAATAAAATCAAGTACAAGTTTTTTCAACTGTTACTTCTTATAGTTTATGATGAGGACTGTTACAGAGGAAGGAGCCATGGGTCCTGAACCTTCAGAGAGAGCCAAGGCAAAGCCAGTGTGGGCAAGAGGGTCTCAGAATGAGTTGCCTGAGCTGCCTTGCTTCCAATTACATGGGAAGTAGAAAGGATTCTTCTTTTCTATTCTGTTGATAAGTAGCTTACCACACACTGAGATAGGATGATTTCTCCAGGGGACTATTAGAAAAAAAAAAGCAGGGCAAAAATCTCTTGATCCTACTGCCAGCTTGGCTTAGTCATTCCATCTTTCCTTGTGGCAGGGGTCAGGAAGCATTTTCTATTAAGGGCCAGAGAGTAAATATCTCTGCAGGCCACACTGTTTATGGTGCATCTCAGCTCTACTGATGTAGCAAAGAAGTAGTCATAGACATGTTGAGAATACAGAGATAAAAGAGCATGGCTCAGTTCCAATACAGCTTCATTTCTGGACACTGAAATTTGAATTTCATATGTTATGAAATAATTTTCTTTGGACTTTTTTTTTTTTTGACTACTGGTATGGCTCACAGAACTATGAAGTGGGCCATAGTTTGCTGTCTTGTTGAAGGTCATGTACCAGGCCAAAGGCATTCCTTACAGTGGCAAATCTTTTGGTAGGTAAATGCTCTTTGGAAGTCAACCTTTTACAGGAAGTCAAAGCACTGAGAAGGAAGAAGGGTGTCCTTCATCCCTCAGCTGCAAAGCTGGGAAACACTATAGTTGCTTAATATATCCTCCTCCATTATTTATGTCATATGCTTAACAAATGGCTAAAACTCTGTGACAAATATACAGACAACTTATATCACAGAGGACTTTGGAACCTAACACAACTACTTTGAATTTTGGTTCTACCACTTATTCTTTGAGTGTCCTTGGGCAAGTTTCTTAACCTGTGACTCCATTTTAAAAATATATACAATGGTTCTGAGGAATCAATGAGGAAAAACATACAAAGCACTCAGCTTGGGCCTTAATAAATGATAGCTGTTATCATGCTTTTTCTTTTTTCCCTCTTCTTTTTTGGTGGAACTAGGGTTTGAACTCAGGGCTTCACACTTGCAAAGGAGGCACTTGGAAAGTAGGTGCTGTACCACCTGAGTCATACTTCCATCCCTGTTATGCTTCTTGACCACTGAAAGGATAAGATTTAGTCTTGCCCCATATCCCACATTGTCTTGCAACAACTAAAAATAACTGGGACATCTTTTGGGGTCTCTGCCCCATGTCAAATTTTTGTAGGAATCTTTGTGTGTATGTGTGTGTGTGTGTGTGTGTGTGTGTGTGTGTGTGTGTGTATACGTGTGTATGTGTGTATACGTGTGTATGTATACGTGTGTATGTGGGCTGTGTGTATATACGTGTGTATGTGTGTGTGTGTATGTATGTGTGTATACGTGTGTATGTGTGGTGTGTGTGTGTGTGTGTGTGTGTGTGTGTGTACTGGACATCGAACCCAGGGCCTTCAGCATGCTAATCACCAAGCTATACTCTCAGCCCAGGAGTCTCGAGGTGAATGTTAAAGCATGGAGTTTGGACCTATGCTGGGTGCTCATTGCCAGGCCATGGCAGCACATCCCTTTCAATTTTCTTTCTGCCTGTGATAGCATCTGCAGCAGGATATTAGCTCAGCCCTATGGTAATTGGGTGCTTTAGTTCTAGTGGATATTAGTTGCTAGCTACTGACCCCGAAGGCAAAAGCAAATAGGCAGAAAAAAGAACAGGCCCTGGTCAGGACTAATTAGATTGTTACTGAAAATTAAAAACTCATGTCAGGGCAGTGGTGACCCTACCACACTATCTTGGGATGGGAAAACAAGCTGCCTGTGAGCTTGTCTTTCAGATCCACAGCCAGAGGAAGGCTCCAGCTCTCAGTTTTTATTCTCAGTTGAAAATAAATTCCTGCTCTCTGCTCCATTGCCTGTCCCATTAGGGAAAAGCCCAGTCCCATTAGGGAAAGACTTGCTATTTGAGGGTCTCATTTATACAGGCTATGTTCTGCCTCATAGCCACACACTTGGGGTGGGGAGGTACACATCCCTAGGACAAGGAGATCTGTGACAGGGATAAGAGAAATACCTCCAAGGAAAGAGAAGAAAGCAAACTATTGCAGAAGGAGGCAAAGAATACTATTCAATTCTGCTCCAATGGTGAGATGGAGGATGTTCTTGCTGGTAGTGGAGTGGGCCACAGTCCTGGTTCTCTCAACCCAGCAATGTTGTCACATGTGGGGATTTAGTTTTGCCTTGTATTCAAAGAGTTGTGTTCTTAACCTGGTTGTAAAAAGAATCAGTAGGGGAGCTTGAAGAAATACTGATGCATAGGTCTCAACCCATGTATTCTTTGGGGTTAGCCTAGGCACCTGTGTATGTGAGCAGTTCCCACTCAGGTGGTTCTAACATGCAGTCAGGGTTGAGAGCCATTGCCCTTGGCTAAGCGAGCAAATCCATATTCAG